TACCTGAACCAAACTTGCATGGATGATGCATCTAGGGATGGACACTACCAGACTTGCTTCAGATGCTGGATCTGACCTATATTTTCATTCCTAAATAACTATAAGCCCTGCCTAAACCAAACTTGCCTGGATGATGCATCTAGGGATGGACACTACCAGACTTGCTTCGGATGCTGGATCTGACCTATATTTTTCTTCCCAAGTAACTATAAGTCCTACCTGAACTAAACTTGCATGGATAATGGATCTAGGGATGGAGACTCCAAACTTGCTTCAGATGCTGGATCTGACCTATATTTTCATTCCCAAGTAACTATAAGCCCTGCCTGAACCAAACTTGCATGGATGATGCATCTAGGGATGGACACTACCAGACTTGCTTCGGATGCTGAATCTGACCTATGTTTTCATTCCTTAGTAATTATAAGAATATAAGCCCTACCTGAACCAAACTTGCCTGGATGATGCATCTAGGGATGGACACTACCAGACTTGCTTCGGATGCTGGATCTGACCTACATTTTTATTTCAGGGTAGTAACTATAAGCCCTACCTGAACCAAACTGATCAAATTTTATACACATACAAATTTTCATGTTGCTTTACTAATATATCCTCGGCGGGGCATTCATGTCCTATGGACATATTTCTAGTTAGTTCTTACAATGTTCAATCTAGAATATTCAATCATCATATAATAAATACTGTAGATTCCTAAATATACACGTGGAATTAATTATCGCGTAATTTTGCAAGAAGCACCACAAACGAAATTAAAGCAGCTTAATCCGAAACAGGCACAATTATCTTAAACAATAAAAATACGTTATTACGTAGATAATATATAAAAGTAAATAATAAGATTGATTTAATTGTTTATTACAACAATCTCTACATGGAAAACATAGATCAAAAACCTTATTGACAAACAGAAGTTCCTGACGGGAAGTTAAGATCTGTTGTGAAGTACTTTTGACAAAAATAAATTTATTGATTATATTTAGGCCATATAAAACTGAAATCTTGGTTCTCAGGCCCGCGCGCATCCGTTTTGAGGTAGCCGCATTGCCGATTTTTTTGTAGTTTTGATAAAATAAAAAGTTGGTATTGCGGAGACCGATCTGGGAAAAAATTCCGACCTCATTTGTTTCATAGTTTATTATTCAAATATCACTTCCGGTAGCCATTTATAATGAGATTTTGGCTACGTCGTTTGAAAATACATTCGAGGATATTACCTACGATGTTTACACACTGTTAATCAATGGATAAAGCAGAAATTTTGACCATAAATAGAAAGTATATCTGTGATTTAAAAAATTATCATAATGTTAAAGAAAATTCGGAAATTAAAATACCTCCCTCATCTACGTATACTTTATTGCCAATAAAATGAAAAATAAAATGCCGCCCTCCTGCATCTGTTTTGGAGAAAATTGGCCTGAGAACCAGAGAATTAAATTTTGATAGCCTTAATTATGAAGATAATTCAAACCTGAGTATTTTTTTCCATTAGTAGAAGCCTAAGTCATAATATATAGATCTTTTAAAAATCAAGAAATTAATATGCATATATACGTATATATTCCAAGAATAAGGAAAATCAGATATATTCAAAGATTTTTTAAAAAAAAAGAAGTTTAGTAATGAAGGCTAAAATATTGTCCGTCTACAGATATATAAAGTACTTTGTGAAATCTGTTTTAAAACTCTTGATCGACTGTTCATTTGTGTTTTCTTATTCTGGCGATTTGCTGTTGAAGAGCTCATTCGCGATAATAAATACTCACGAAAAATAAGGAATCTACAGCTTTTTTTGTTTTATTAAGTCCAAGGGGCATAACTCTGTCAAAAGAAACTTGACCTAGATATTAATTTGGTCAATCTGTATACCAACAATTCATTTCAGTATGTGCAATGGTTGTGAAGAAAATGAAGGAAACTTAGTGGACCAATAGACAGACCGGTTGACAGACCGACCGACTGACAGACAGCAGCAAAGCAATATCCCCTCGATTCTTCGAAGGGGGATATAAGAAAAATTATTGTTTGAATAATGAACACATATATGTTGATTTAAGTTAAAATCAATAGACTGTTTGTTCTCAATCCTCCAATATGAAAAAAGAGATAAGGCCTAAAAAAAATAATAAGTTGATTCTCAGGCTCACCCGCATTTTATTGAACAATTCGCATTACCCATTTTTATCCTCAAATAATAAAATACAGTTTCTCTCATGCGCTCGTCAATTACCCCCCGCCCCCTCCCCCCCCCCCAAAAAAAAACGGATTTCCTGACTGCATTTTGACTGCATTTTAGAAATCAGTCAAACGTAAGACAAACATCATGATTATTCAAATTTTTGGCCTAGTTAAAAACACAAATATGGCCGTCAAGTACACAGGATACAGCATCAAGATTAAGATAAGTTATGATGGCATTGATTTCAGTGCAGATTCATGAGGAATCTACTTCCACGGTACAAGGTGGGGTTTCTGAAGGTTTTCCAGGCTAGAACTTGATCAATAACGTGATCAAAGATGGCTCCTTCAACCTCAGAACTAGAACGTCAGTAGGATTCACAGATTTCATGTAGTGTCACACTGTGGTAATTAAACCAAAGACTGAGGAATTAGACAAAGTTTAATAAAATTATAAGCACTATTTATAGTGCTGAAACACTTAGATTAGTTGTGTTACATAAGCAATAGACCAGCATCACTGTTGGGTTCTGTAAGTTTTACACATCTTGTTTTTAGGAAGACATCGTTTCATTATATGAATTATCGGGATCATAGATGTAGAAGACACAATAGAGAAAGAAGCAGGAAATATATTATTAACTCACCTGAGCCGAAGGCTCAAGTGAGCTTTTCTGATCAAAATTTGTCCGTCGTCTGTCATTGTCGTTGTTGTTGTCGTCATTGTTGTAAACTTTTCACATTTTCATCTTCTTCTCAAGAACCACTGGGCCAATTTCCACCAAACTTGCCACAAAGTATCCTTATGTAAAGGGGATTCAAGTTTGTTCAAATGAAGGGCCACGCCCTCTTCCAAGGGGAGATAATTATGAATTAGTGAAAAATTAATGGCATTTTTAAAAACCCTTCTTCTCAAGAATCACTGGGCCAAGAAAGATGAAACTCATATGGAAGCATCCTCAGGTAGTGTAGATTCAAGTTTGTTCAAATCATGACCCCCATGGATAGGGTGGGGCCAGAATGGCCGATCAATGTTTTACATAGGAGAAAAAAGGGAAAATCTTTTAAAACTTTCTTCTCAAGAACCACTGGGCCAGGAAAATTGAAACTCATGTGGAAGCATCCTCAGATAGTGTGGATTCAAGTTTATTCAAATCATGACCCCCAGGGGTAGGGTGGGGCCACACCGGATGAACAAAGTTTAACATAGGAATACAGTCAAACTTGTTTTAAGAGGCCACCTTTGGGAAGTCTGGAAACTGGCCACTTAAGACAGGTGGCCTCTTATTCCAGTTTGCCCTCAAAAAGACATCCGGGCAATGAATAACCAGCATTAAGCACTATAGTTAAATTCATCAAATAATAAAACAGGTCACTTTAACAAAGGCTTTTTGTGTATATATAATAATTCAAGCTCAATAAAAAAAAATATTAAAGAATTAGAATTAAAAAAAAAAGTTTTTGTGCATGTTTCTGTTCCTATATATTAGTTAAATAAGAAATATCCTGGTTATTATCCTTTTTTATAAAGAAAAAAAATTACAAAAAAATACATTTTAGTGGTAAATAAAATAAATCATAGAAATTTAAATAAGAATATGTCAATGAAAATTCCACTTGCATATGTTCAAAAATGGTCAGCAGTGTACCCCCCCCCCCCACCCCCAAATAATTCATCGGCAATTAACTTACTTGCTGAATTCATTCATTCATGGTAAATTTTATTGTTTATAAAGCTGTCAGAATTTCTATGTAACATACACAAACACACAAATAAAATTAACCACTTGACCAGAGAGATGTATTGACGCTGTTGAAAATCATTCCATAACACAGGTGTCATATGCAGTCGAGCGTGACTAATCCCTATCGATTGTCTGTTGATAGTGAAATTCAGGAGATAATCATGCCACATGAAGCACTTTGTTTTCACAAGAGTAGCAATTAGGGTTTCTACATGGAATCAAAATCTAAAAGGTGTGAATTTCTTTAGGTAGAGGAAAGTATCAATTGTATTTAAATTCTGTTCATTTTTCAATCGACGATCTTGAAAAATAATTACAAATTCATCTAACAGGGTTTTTTTTCATAAACACAAACTGAGTTCAGTGTATCCAATAGTAATTTGTTTAATTGCATTAATAGCTGGGTTAAATTGGCTTTCGGGATATAATTACCCAAGCGAATGAGTTTAAAAGACGTAATAGAATCGTAGCAAGTGAAGAAATGGCCGCCTATTACAGTGTCATTAAGGCTGTTGGGGAGGATTTGAGTGGCCGCTGGCCGCGTTACACAGGTGGCCGTTTATTCCAGTTAAAATATATAGGAAAAATTGTCGGGGGAACTGAAAGTGGCCGCTGACCGCAAGTGGCCGTTGATTTCGGGTGGCCGCTAAGACAAGTTTGACTGTATATAGGAAAAATCTTTTTAAAAATCGTCTTCTCAAGTACTTCAAAGCAATGATTAATGATAGTATAGTAAACTTTTCAGTTCTGATCTGATTTGTGTTTTTTTCCTAGATGATTTGCTCAGGTGAGAGATGTGGCCTCTGGGCCTCTTGTTTTGATATCTACACTCGATGCTTAAACATCGTGGACTACAAATTTAGTTTTGAAATTATATCTTTAAAAAAAATTCCCGCGTCTGTTTTTCATGAGATATAAAGAAAAAAAATGTCCCTCATGCATTTAATATTCTTAAGAAAACAAGACTGAGAACCAAGTTATAATTTTTTTGCCTAAATAATTACTGTATGATGTGCTAAATGAAAACAAAACTAAATAATTCCTCTTTTTCAGTGGCTGATGATGACTCGCCATTCAAGTCATTTATCAGAATAAATGCTACAGATTTGAAACCAGACCCAAGCAGTAGTGCCGTTGCCAGCTCTGATGCAAACGAAAAAGAAAATTTGGAAGTAGGAAGTACTGATAAAAGTACTGAAATAGTTTATAGCCGCGAAGAAAAGAAAGAAGAGAATGTGGAAATGTCTAGTTCACCAACGGAGGACACAGAAGAAGAGAACACAGTAGAGGTGATGGCCAGTCTTATCTCCCAGGAAGCCACAGCTATGGTGAAAGATGAAGTTTTTCAGAAAATCTTGTCTGAAAAAGAGAAGTTACCAACAGTAAGCATGCTGGATTTTGCTGGGCAATTGGCGTATTATGCTTGTCACCAAATTTACGTAACACCAAAGGCCTTCTTCATCCTTGTGTTGGACATGACTAAGAAGTTCGAAGATGTTGTCGACAGGGAGAAAGATAACCAAGAAGGATCAATCTTCTCTGTGTGGACTTACAAAGGTAAGGCACTTGTAAAATGTTAGATTTTTAGCTCTTCTGAGCCAAAGACTCAAAGAGCTAATGCTATATTGCCATTTGTTTGGTGTGCGGCATGCGTTGTGCAGTGTGCATAAACTTGTTAGAATACGGACCATCACTCAATATCACCTAGGTCAAAAATTATACCCCCGCTCTGAAGGAGAGGGGGGTATACTATTTTACCCTTGGTTGTCTGTCCGTCTGTCTGTCTAGCTGTCCGTGTGTCTGTGTTTCCGTCCGAAACAAATTTTCGTCGCAGTTTTCTCAGCAACTACTCATCGTAGATGCTTGAAATTTTAACACAATCTTTTCTGAGGCATGCCATATGGTGGGATACATTTTTGTTGAAATCTGATGTCAACTTCCTGTTTGTCTGTGCATCTGTCCGTTTCATACATAACAAATTTTTGTTGCAGTTTTCACAGCAACTACTCATCGTAGATGCTTGAAATTTTGACACAATCTTTTCTAAGGTATGCCATATTGTGGGATACATTACTGTTTAAATCAGATGTTAACTTCCTGTTTGTCTGTGTGTCTGTCCGTTTCATACATAAATTTTCGTCACAGTTTTCTCTGCAACTACTCATTGTAGATGCTTGAAATTTTATCACAATCTTCTCTTAGGTATGTCATATGGTGGGAGACATTTTCGTTCAAATTGGATATCAGCTTCCTGTTTGTCTGTGTGTCTGTCCGTTTCATAAATAACAAATTTTCGTCGCAGTTTTCTCAGCAACTGCTCAAGGCAGGTGCTTGAAATTTTAACACAATCTTCTCTGAGGCATGCCATTCATTGGGATACATTTTTATTCAAATCCGATGTCAACTTCCTGTTTGTTTGTGTGTCTGTCCATTTCATACATAAAAAGTTTTGTCGCAGTTTTCTCATTAGCTATATTCATAGCAGATGCTTGAAATTTTATTACACTCTTTGTTGAGGCATGCCATATGGTGGGATTAATTTTGATATGAATCTGATGTCAACTTCATATTTTTCTGTGCATCTGCCTGTAATTGAACTTGTGTATATTAACATGATAGTACTTATTTACATCAGAGCGGGGGTATTGCTAGTGAGCATTGGCTCACAGATTTCTTGTTTTCAAATTTGTCACATGGTATCCTTGGCCTTATGGCTTCCATCTGTAAAAAAACACTGGGTAGTGACCCTTAGGCAAGGGGATATAATTAGAAAAAATGAAACAGAAGGACTGGTTGCTAAAAAAAAAACTCTTCTCAAAAACCAATGTTGTAGATTAAAATTTGCATGGGGAATTACCCTCGGGCAAACAGCATGGTCTCAAGGTCTCTTCAAAGTTGTCCAGGAATTACTTTAATTTAAAAATTATTAAAATGTTGATATTTTGCTTACTATAAGGACTTTTTGTCAGTTGATGCATCTAAGGACCTCATCACGTTGACTTAAAAGTAGGTCAAGATGACTTTATAAATATTGAGCCCATTCTTTTTCAAAATGATTTAGAGGCAAATTTTGAACAATTTCAGGCCTATACTAATCAAACTTTCTTAGTTGATGCATCAGAGGCAGGGTTGTGGATTACCACTTGCCTACCCGCAAAAGCAGGTAAAATTTGCTGTGGGCGATTAGAAATTAAAAAAGAACGTACTTTGAAGATGAATTCTGTTTATAACTTTCAATAAATTAAAAATGGTTTTCATCTTTTTAAAAGGAATGAAGTAAAATGATTTTAACATTGGCAATTTTGAACAGAATCATTAATTTTACAATTTGTTTTCAATCATGTTAAGATTTTGGTTTTAGTCGTAGGTTCTTTTGTAAAATGGACCACTGGTTGCCTGCATGGAAAATGATTTTTTCCCCGGAACGTAATCAAATTTCAGTTTTATTTTTGATGTACTGTTAATTTCTGAACAAACGCTCTACTAACCTACATTATTTACGTTGTGAACAAGCATATTCTTCAAACACATTCGTGACTTAGATCAAATATGGCGATTTATCGTTGCGGTTATAAGGAAAAGACAACTAATTATTTTCCCATAGAACTCTATACAAACCTTAGGCCCTCTCAGTACTTTATTATGACAATTTCAGAAAATCCTTAGCATCATTTGAAACTTCCTTCTAAGCCCTTACAAAAAAATGAAAAAAAAAATATATGGTCCCATGGCATTTATAGGTAAAAATTGCAGTTATTTTCAACTTATAGCGATCAGCAGTAAATAACACGCTACATCAAAAATCATTAATTACTACAGTAGTATATAAAGTGTATACATGTATATAAAATGTATTTAATATTACCCCACCTCTGTCGATTTTTCCATGAAACCCTGTCTTACGATTGGTTGAATCTGTCACGTGAAGACGGTGGATTACTTATACCCGGTCAGTTGTAAATCTATACCCGGTCAGTTGTGAACCTATACCCGGTCGATGCAAAGGAAAACCATTTATAAACTACAGACAAAACGCTAATGTTTCATCGGTGGGGTAAATTCGTTACACAGTCTTTTAGTGACAGGGTATGGGATACCTGGTTAGTAAATTTCATAACTGACTCGGCTCAGCCTCGCCAGGTATGAAATTTACTAACCAGGTATCATCCCCTACCCTGTCACTAAAAGACTATGTAACTAATAATACATGTATGTGTTCATGTGGTTGTGTTAGATACAGGTGAACGGCTTCCTACTATCTTGGGCTACTGAGTTAACCTTTAGCTCAATTGGAAGAGCACAGAGGCCCTGGGTTCAAGCCCAAGAAGAGGCTGTAAATGTTTCTGTTACAATAATTTATGGCAGGTATTGGTTCGTTTCAGTGGATTTGACACATGAATTGGTGGTCAGTAGCCAGAAATAATGAATCTGTTAACACTGTTTACAGAGGGTGTTAAAATTGAAACTGACTAAACTCCCAATACACTGCTTACCGTACAAAAGTACACTGCATCATGATATATATCTTTCCTATAAATCAATTTCTTTTCCCTTGCTATAAGTACTAACCAGTAAAGCTACAGTCTCATCAGAGACTTCTAGTTTTATTATTATCCTTTATAATTATTCCTTTAGACTTACATACTATTGTTTCTTTTAGACTACTTGAAGTTTTGGATTACCTCAATCAAGACATTTGGAGGCAAAAAGGCACCACTGTTTCTTGTTGCCACACACACAGAGAAAAAATCTAAAGATGTAAGTATTCTGTCTTAGAGAAATATGAATTATAAAGGAATAAACAGATCTCCAACCTATCGTGAAAATGTACAAGTAAAGCCATACTTAATAAATACAAACACAAGAAAAATTTTTGGCCTATAAGGTTTTAAGATTGGTTACAGTCTTTACAAAATGAATTGGTTTCTATTTATGTCGATGACTATGGGAAAAATAGGTATAATAATTCATGTCTTTTACTGTAGACATACTTTTTCCCACATCAAACGAAAGTAAATGAATATAATTAAGAAATAAGGTATCATTTTTTGAGTTTTATTGAGATGTAAAACGGGTTGGTCACGTGATCAAATCCCATAAAGCCCGAAGGGCTTTATGGAAGATTTGATCATGTGTCAACCCGTTTTACTTATGGAATGAAGCTAATTTCAACTTATGTTATCCGATATAACATAACTTGGGGCAGTTTACGCTTTATAAACCGCGAAGCGGTTTATAAGAAAGCGTAAACTGCTCCAAGTTTTGTTATATCGGATAACATAAGTTGAAATTAGCTTCATTCCTTATAATTTAATTTCAGAGTTGACAATGAGACAATATTTCCTCCGGAAAAAGGCTTCAAATTGAGAATTATTTAAAAGTAACGTCAAGCGGAGTAATACGTTTTTGACGTAACTCATTGTGATGTAGGCAAGTTATTTTATACAAAATATTATATGTTCCTCTGAATGATTCAGCCAATGAAATTGCTTGACGCAAGTGAAATTAAATTATATCTCAATAAAACTCAAAAATGATACCTTATTAGGGCCCCGCAAGGATTTGCGGGTGCCCTATAGTAATCACTCTGTCTGTCCGTCCGTCTGTCTGTCTGTCTGTCCGTCTGTCACTCTTCCGTCCACAAATTTTCTGTTTTTTTCTAATAACTTTTTTAATGGTTGCCCAATCAAGTTTAAATTTGGTATGGTAGTTCAGTAGGTAGAAATACATATTTTGATACTAAGTTTGGTTCTCTATGTCTTCTGGTTTGGAGCTGGGGTGGTGGGGTAGATTCCTTAACTATGCATAAGAATGAATGGGCAACTTTTTTTATGGTTGCTCAATCAAGTACAAATTTGGTATGGTAGTTCAGTAGGCGAAATACATATTTTGATGCTAAGTTTGGTTCTCTATGTACCCTGGTTTGGAGGTGGGGTAGATTCCTTAACTTTATATAAGAATGCATTTGCAAAGAGAGATAACTGCTGAAGATGTTCCCATTGTAAACTGAATGCTGACTATGAGTCCCTTGGGATTAATTAGCTTTCCTCCTGAAGAAAATCCAGAGCATTATCTTTATCTGTCACATTGAGATGAATTACCACCTCTGTCTGCAAATGAAGTTTGTTTTGAAGTTAAGTCAATTTGGAATGCTTTGAACACTCTGAAATGTGGATTTAAATATATGTTTTTATAATTTATTTTTGTTTAATAGTATTAGTTATGATTTCATTGAATTCTAAAAACAAGAAATAGATTAAAGAAGATTTTTTGATTCACTTTTTTTCACTTTATGTTAATTAATTTTTTAAAGTAGTTGTATAAAAAACCCATTCTATCATTAATACTGAAAAAGTTCTTATTGTAACTTTAGAAGAAAATGATGAGAGAGGTACAATTAATCCTTTGGGATTAATTATCTAGCCTGCTGCAGAAAATTTATTAGGCTTTTCTTTATCTTTAAGATTAATTAAAACCTTTGTCTGCAACTGCTGTTTGTTTGAAGTTAAGGTCAAGCCTTCATGATATTTGCATTCATTGAAGGCTGGCATTCTATATAACATAAGCTTCATAATTGTTTAAATATACATTCAATGTTAGGTTTCTCCACCCTTCATGTTTTAATGGTTAAAAACATGTAATTGTTGTTTAAATGTAAAGTAAAACATCTTAAGAATTTAATAAAAGTAAAATATTTATATGTTGCAAACTTTTTTTTAATTCTGTGGCTGTTTACATAAGTACACTATCTACATCATACTAGCGAAGATTGCTGTTATATCAAATATCACCTTAAAACTATATTGGTATGCAAAATCCACAGCAAATCTTTGCATAAATCAATACAAATACTTTATTTTATTTGTTTATACAATAAAAAGCCATTTAAACCTGTCTGTATGCATGTTGTAGCATTTTTCAGTGTATTTTTACTCATTTTCCTCTAAATCAAAAAATGTCGTCTTGTCCACAAAAATATCTATAACTTTTTCAATAATGGTTCAAACTTCATAAAATTTGGTATGTATTTAATTCAAAGTATAACCTTTCCTAAATTGAAAATAAATAATTATGTTGCCAGGTAAAAAATATTGAAATATGGTGTCTGTTTATGAGTACCCCTATACGTTTTTCATTTGATACTTGTTTGGATTGCTGTCAAATTTAACATCACATTGAAATTAAATCAATAAGCAAAATCTATAGCAAAACTTAGCATAAACTAATCAATTACTGTGTCTTTCAACAATTTGAATCCATATCAGCTTGTCATTATGCAAATAATGGCATTTACAGTCATTTTTTTCTTACCATTTCACCTCGAAAAATCGTGCTGCCTCTAAAAATGTATATACCTTCTTCAAATATGGTTCAAACCTCATTAAATTTAGTACACATGCAATCCACTAATGTGAAATATAAATGACACTTCACTCTTAATAACTCAATCAAGAAATAAAGATAAAAGTGAAAATATATCACATTCTACCGTTCCATATGACTATATTTTCTCTCCACTCTCTACATGTACAAGTCAGTTCAATATACATATTATACATATGTCCATAAAAGTACGTATGCTTACATACTAAGATAATTCACAACCTTTTGAATAATCTTTGATGATTTTGTTATCCTTACACTCTTAGGATTTTCTTTCATTGGTTCTGAAAATATATACCTAATACCATTTTCTGGGTCTCTAGCATGAATTTGTCTCAGTTTTGGCAAACTAAGTCCACACAGAACCAATTTTCGAAGTGTTAAAGCTGACACAACTTTGCCTCTTAATAATGGCTCTAAAGACTCTTTACATGTGTAATATGACAAATAAAAACATTTTCAGACACTGCACTTTCTGACAAACACAAATTAGAGTAATATAATTTTTCTAATGCAGTCACATCTGCCATCGCATTATGGGCCTCATATTTCTCTCCTAATAGACTGTGAACTAGTGTCTCTTGCTTGTAGTTAGGAAGCTGGACATCTTTCAATAATTTCTTGGAAATCTTTAGAGTGTCTAAAAATCCAGTTACATTATTACGAAATCTTTCAAGAAGATCACAATCTCCCAAATGGTGTCGCAAAATTGGTAGGTCAAAGTTTTGAATGTTATGCCCCACTAACACTGGATGGTCAAAAGACTCTAAAAATATCAGAAACTTGGTCAGTGCTTCGGGTGGAGTGACTGCAGCCACTGCTTCTCCCTTACAGCAAAGGCTATTTCCATCAAAAGTCAAACAGGTTGCTTCAGATGCTTCCTTGCTGATGGATCGAGTCGGCAAAGCATAAACTGAGAGCTCCTTTTCTTGACACTTTGCTGCAATTTGGAGTATATCAGATGTTCGTCCTATAGTAAGAAACAAAATGTGTGATCTTATGATATTGGCATACTCAATGTAAGAATAACAAGAGGATTTTGATAATTTATTGTATGATTAACAAACATCTATAAATTATACATGTACTGAAATTCAAAAAATGAACAAACCTAAACCTCCCGTTTCCAAATCAAAGAACACCAATGGACGAGTATGCAGATTGTCAACAGGGGCATCCAGTTCAATATCATCTATGTCTATGTTCTCTTCAGCCTCTAAACAGATGTTTGGCTTATATGTATCTCCTTGAAAAACAATTCATTTTTTTTTTTAGATTGTATCAATATATGAGTAAATATATTAAAGATAATGAAACCGCTAAAAATTAGTCAATACTAAATAGATGAAGATGCACATGTACCTTCAAGAACAGACTGCGATGCATTCTTAGATTGCCTTTCAGCTTTTAGTTCCAGTCTTCTTCTTTTGACGCTTGGCTGTGCATTTCTCAGGCGCTTTCTTTTCAGCTTAGCATCCTTGCGTCTCATGTGTCTCAAGGTATATGTACCGGGTGACAAAGAACAAGATTTATTCAGCTACAAATGAAAGTTACCAAATTACTTAACATTGAAACACATAACTGCACATTTTATCGTGGGGAAACAATTATAATTATTGTGGAAGTTAAAAGTAAATTCTTATCTTTAAGTTCAAATACACATCACTGGTTTAAAACTTGTTAATTTATTTTTTTTTTTTACATGCAGTGTATATTAATTTAAAAAGAAATAATGTTATAAATATCAGTTAGTAGAGTCCTACTATTTTTTTTGAAAGTAAAAATAAGGTGTACATAAAGAAAATGTAAACAGACATACCATATATACTCGCCTATAAGTCGGTTTGCTTATAAGTCATTTTTTTAGTTAATCTCTTTGTTCGACTTATAGGCGAGCTATAAAAAGAATGGTTTTATATGAGGTCAATTCCTCCGATATACATGTATAAGCTTATCAAATACAACTGACTTATGGGCAAGTATATATGGTAAAACATATTCAAAATACTATGAACAAAATAGTGCCTGATATTCAGCAAATGTAAACATGATAAATAACACAGAAACAAAAAAATTAAATCATTAATGGCTGCATGTAACACATTCTACCTCAGATATGTATTCAAAACCATCATTTTTTTTGGCAAACTGTGGCAGAGAGCCTTGAGGCAAGACTTTCTGAGCCCCCATAAAACCTGCATACAGATGTATTGCAAAATAAGCTACATTGATCTTATTCATTTAATGCTTTTGTATATATATAAATTATATTCAATGCTATGGGAGGTGAGTACATGTAACAATTTGCATGTACTTACAATCTCTTTGGTGCTTTAGAAGCTACCATCTGGTTAAAGCTTTCGTTTGACTGCGTG